TCTATACTTTGTTAATTATGTTAAACCTTGAATGTCATATATTAGCCATACAAAATAATAATAATAATAATAATAATAACTAGTATGACAATTGGGTCTATAGTGATAAAATAACAAAATAATATTAATAAAGGCATAAAGAAATATTGCTCCACAACAACTATATTATATTTATTTTTTTGTATTAAGAATAGTATGACTGAGCATATACAAATAGATATTGGACATGTATAAAAAGGAAATCACATTTTACCTGATGTGGATTCAACATTTGATCAGTGTAAGAAGTATACCATTGAAAAATATCATCATGTGAATATAAAGTATAAACATTATTTATCTTTAGATCAAACTTCAATGATTTCTTAAAGTACTAGAAAAACGAGAAAAATAAATTAAAAGTAAAAATTGATAACAAAATTACAATATTCTATTTTGAACAAATATACCTTAGTTTCAAATGCAAACTTTTCTAGTGATATGTACGTTTCTTCATGACCAATTAAACACAAACTTTCAAAATTTACTTTTAATGAAAGATTACCTTCAAAATTATTGATTTTATTATAAAATATTATTATACTTTATCAGTTTTATATTATGTTACTTTGTTTTATTGAATAATTATTGTCATCAAGGATGATAATATTTTCTATAGTTAATAATTTCAATTCTCCTTTCATCTCTGTAACTAAATTCTCTTTTACATCAACAATTGTAAGCTCCTCTAGATGTATTTTTATTTTCTATACAAACAACAAAATTAAATATTAAAAACTAGCAAATCAATATAAATTATTATACTAACCTTAGGTACCAATGGTGGTATAGAAAATGGAATATCTTTTGCAATCATATCCAAACTACTATGTTCCTTATTTTTATTAGACAATGTAGAACTGGCACTATTATTCTGAATAAAACTATACAAACCTTTATTTAATACAATTTTTGATTTGTCGAGTTTCAACATTAAAGACTGAATTGATAAAGGTTCATGTGTATCTAATATGCTTTCAGCGCATACATTAACAGTGATCTTTGCTAAACAACATGAATTTGGATTCATAGGATGACGAAGTAATTTTGCTTCTGCATATGGAGCGTTAACATTTGCTAATAATTGCCTGGATGATCCAATGACAGATGCATCCAAGTGGAGGTCTATAACTGATACTATAAAGAGCCATTCTGGAGTATTTGGTTGTAAAGACATAATTGATATTCGACTAATTCGAACAGCTAAAAACTAAAAAGAAAAGTTAAAATTATGTTTAATAAAATGATATAATGTTGTGTACTTGAGCAAATTTCATGACAATAGGCAATATATCTTCAATTTTATTTTTGCTTTGGTTTTGTTTTTTAACAGTAGAACTATTCCATTCTATGTTTTTCTCTATTCTCACATCGCGAGCTACAAGGCATACCAATTTATTGACTTCACTGCTAATAAAGCTACTCCGAAAACCAATATTATCAATGTGCTATCAAAAATAATAATCCATTAAAATATCAACTAGAATTGTACTTTATAATTAGCAACATACTACTGAATAACCATTTTTTAAGAAAACTATATCTTGCAATGAGAATATTCCAGCTGTGCCAATTTTTACATTCAAGCAGTATTTATACTTGAGATATACACTAATGGCTTTGGGTAACAACCTAAATTGAAAATGTTTAATGCATAGATAAAAATTAATCAATGATCAGACAATAAAATTGGGATTAACTTACCATTTTAAAGAATACAATAAGATGAAAAATACACAAAAAAATAGAGTATTAAATTCAATCATTGTATTTGATAGTTAGTTAATTTATTATAAGATGTAACTATTAAAACTCTAATCGATTAAAAGTGTACATTTTATTCTATATTGGTATTTGTCATTTGGTTATACTATTTAACGCGGAACTACAATTATTTATTGATTAATTATAAATTAAACAAATATTAAAACGTTTTGATATTTGATGTTAACATTTTGAAATGATTTTTGTTAAGAAATGATAATAATAATGTAGATAACTGTCTCTTATCTATAAGTATACGAGTATACCTGTCTCATTAACAGAGGCAAGGCTACACAACAGATAAAAAGATGTAGTCTACCCATTTAAAGTTAGAATCTGACAACTAATTTTTATATAATAAATTTAATAAAATATTTACTTTACAAGTTTGAATGTCATAATAAAAATATATTTATTATGTTTCAATGTTAGTCATAATCTTTTTTTTATTATTTAATTCACCTAGTATTCCTAGAATAGATTAGTTCGGGCCGCGCACAAGAACAATCGGTGCTAGGCCATTCCAGTTAACACCCTAAAACGACTAAAACAATATAAAAATAAATCTAAGAAGTCTTAGTTTTCTGACGCAGTGTGTTTGAAAAATTTAAAAGTTAGTGGGGATTATCATTACGTTATAAGACGCGTCTAGCTGTTTTATATTTTTGTTTAGTATTTTCCATAGTCGTTGTTAGCTTGTTGCGTAGGTAATCGTATTATAAAAATTGTTGATCAAATGGCCACTGACTTGTTTTCGAAGACAAAAATAAAAAGATTGATTTGATATATTTTTCTCAACTCGTGTGTCGCCAAGTAAATTCAAATATATCGCGAAATACAGTGATGTACTCAAGAACTTTTTATGGGGGAAAAGGGGGAGTAAGCAAATTTTAACTTAGGTACCTATCACACTTTACTTCATGATAACGAATACTTAATTTTATCATAAAAATATAATATACGTTGAAACTTTTTGAAAAATTTAATATGATATCCAACTCAAAATTCTAAAACTGTGTTTTATATTAAAGTTAATTTACCAACTCAGGTTTATGGAAAGGAGAATTCTGACCACCAAACCACCCCATGGATACACCACTAACAAATTATATTAAATGACACAACATATATAAATATTTTTAACATTTTTAACACAATTTATAAAAGCTAATAGGTATTTGATATAATTTTTATGATGATTAAAAATAAATTATTTGTTATCGACATATTTTATGTATTTTATATTACAAATTAAAATTAAATATTATCCATTCTTATATTTTTATTGCGTGTCGCAAAGTATGGAATATTTTAATAACACAAAGGTTGAGAAACACTAATTTAATGAATAAAAGTACAAAAATTTATTTTTAAAAATTATTTTGTTAATACACATCACATGTTAATACGTTTTGAATATTATTTTCTTTTGTAAACATATTTTTTTGTCTAATTAGTTTTTGTATTTTTATTTTTAAAAGTTTCATTTTGTTTTTAGTTTTTGATCATATATTTTTTGCAATATAGATAATTAAAATAGGAAGAGAGTCTAGCAAGACTAGTACCATTTTTCCGACGTCTCTTCTACTTATAACCCCACTGAATAAAAAAATTTCACAAATACAGCTGATAAATACGAAAGAAACAAAGTCTAATAAAAATATATTAAAAAATCTAGTCATTAAAAGTACTCTTAACTTTAACGAGGACTTTGGTGATCAGTCGTGGCCCATTAATCATGGTAAACGTCTTTCTTTGCCAGACTATTCTTCCAAAGCTAAAGAACCAAAAACTTTTAATGAAATCTTTTTGTGCCATGTCAAATCGCTTTGAGCCGCTAAATAACACGGGAAGTGATGACAGCAACAAAATGATCTATGAATCAACAAACGAATTTCTTCCTCCTCCACCAACAATATTAAATTACTACTCCTGTAGACATAGGTACACGTAAAAACATTTTTTTTGATCATAACTTCTTTCTTAAACATCCATCTCTAACAACTTATCATCATTTATCCATGAATTTAAGTCACTCATAACTCCTATAAATAATAATATTAAGGGTATAAGTTTCCAAACTTTTTGAACACCAGGTGACTGCAATTAATTGTAAAAACGATTTATATAAATAATAATTGTTTCATAACAATATTTACTACTTTATTTTATCTAAATATTATTTAATTGATTCTTACTTACCTACTTATTTTTGTAAAACGTATCGTTTGTTCCACAATATATTTTTTTAAATATTTCCTTAACTAGTATATAAAATAAAAGTCTATCAGAATAAATATTTGTAGGATATATTTTTTAACAGAATAATACCATTGATTTTAACTTTAAAGTCAATGATAATACTTTATACTAAAAACACTTATTTATAAACACGTACTAATAATTAATAAATAACAAAAATTATTTGAAATTCGAAAAATTTGGATGAGTAACCTAACCTAACCTTTTTTCAAAATAAGTGACTGTACGTGACTTAAATTCAAAAAAATGATTTTAAGTTTTAAAAAAAAGTACTATATGAAACATATAATTAATAAGTTATTTTCACAGTATTAAATTCAAATTTTGAATTTTTGTTTAAATTATCATCCCGATTCGAAGATTGATAAAAATGTTCACTTAAATATGTTATAAAATTAAAACAATTACTTGTCTTAGTGTCAACTTAAATTTAAAATAAAAATCGGTAAGTATGCATACCTATATAGTACCTACTGCAATGTATCAGTCATGATCGAATATTATTTAAAACAAAAAAATTCATTATCGACTATTATTTTAAAATTATATGTATTATTTTTATTTCATAGTTATTAAAATAAAGTATTGATTATTATTTATTAGTATATTATGTAATTTAATTTTTTTTTTTATTAATTATTTTTGAATGAATTATTTATAGATTAATTTTTAATACTTTTATAATATTATTAATTATCAAACCATAAAGTATTATTATACCAAGGTTTGTAGAATCTATAAACCAACAACTCCATATTTTCATAAGGCCAAGGCGTAAGTATATTTGGCGCTAAAGGGCTGTTATCTGTTGATAAAAACATACTACTTATCTTTTTATTTTAGCGCGGCTAGATTAAGTGGCTTGGGGCTTAGAATTTGTTGCCAACATAAAATTAAAAAAATAATATATTTTGAGGTTATACGTTTTTATTAAATTATGTACTGTATGGTGATCACGAATCACGATTATAAATCAACATTCAAGTATTTGAAGTATTCAACATTTCATTATTTCAACACTCATGCTGCTGAATGGCGAATACAGATTGACGATTGTTAATTTGTCACATTGTCATTGTCACGGTATCTCTTCACTAAAACAACAATCAATGTTATGGTTTTTCAATCGTTTTATTATACTTAAAAGTTTTCAGATTTCATTATTCCAAAATTTAATAGTTTCACGATATAATCTTAAAAAACGAATAGAAAATTATATAAAATGGGTTTCAAACAGTTTCTCACAAATCATTGGCGATTAGTCAATTCGAATAATTTGTTTATCAACAGGTTAAGATACTTAAAAATTTAAATTTATTTAGCTGTAACCTGTATTCTTTAATATTTTTGATAAAATATAAATTTATTTTTGTCAGATGTGCAAATTCTGTTTTGGAATCTCATAACATAGGATATGCTCAAAAATCAGTGGTAAATAAGTTACAATTACCTTTGAAACCAAAGAAACCTAGTCCTCCATTCTTTCAATATCTTAAAGAAAGGAAACAAGAAGTAATTGAAAAACATAATTTAAATTTCAAGGGTAAATATTTCAATTTATTTTATTTTTCATTACTTTGTTTAACACCTTTTTTATAGAAAAATATGGTAATTATTAGTGTTTATAATTTGAGAGTTGTATTCTACATTATTTGTAGTAGTAAAGTATACACTATGTAATTAAATAACTTATAAATTATGATTAAAGTATTTAAAATGTTATTAATTGCTATTTAGAACTTTTATGTTGTATTACTAATGAATAATATATTAAAAGTTTTTCTGTTTTATTAAAAGCTGATAAAACAAGAAAATTACGATGTGCTTAAACAAATAATAAAATACTCAATAAATGATTTATTTAGTCAAAACTATTTAAAAAAAATCTAGATTAAAGTAATGTACTACATTTGAACAAATGTGTTAGAAGTGGCATAATAAAAAAAAAAATTACCACTCTGAGCATTGATAATTTATATTAGTAAAGTTAACATTTAAAATGTATAAATTTAAGTGATTAGTATAGATATAAATAATTTAAAACAAACTTTTATGGTCCACTGAGATTTTTATTATATAGCAAATTCAATTGCACAAAGAGAGGGTCAGGGGTATTGTCGTATCGACTGACATCCCATAGAGAATTGGTAGATGAGTGGGTGACTGGTTATTTGTGAATTTGGATGTTATTTTGATGAATATTTGTTCAATTTTATACCAAAAATAAGATTTATATTATGCCTAAATTTAGATTTGACTAGTGGGTGGGATGGGTAGATACCTCGAGATGTAAATGTTGACACCTTTGTGTAAAATATACTGTGCACCACTAATAGCAATCATTGAAATTAATAGTTTAAGAGACTAGAATCTGAGTTAAATAGAAGCATTTCTCTTTCTATTTGGTCATTGCATATTTAATTAGTTTTATAAATGTTAATTTTAAACATTCCATATTTTAAAACTATCCTAGGTACATAAAATGAGACCTCTTAAGTAAATGAATAGCATCATTCATTTATCTTATTTAGAAAAAAAATTATTAATATGCAAACAATGTTAGTTGATGCCATTAGATATTAAGTAAGTTAACAAATTATAATTTATTACCAAGGTAGAATAATTGAAACCATGATGATAAAAAATTTTCTATCCCCAACTTATCCAAAATAAAGATAAATATATTTTATTATCATGATTTTAAGTAAAATATATTTTAAAATTATAGATTTATCTTTTAATTGATAAATTATGTATTTCTAATACAATGTAGACACTTGAAAAAAAATCTCTTCTTATTACAATTTGCAATTCTTTATTACAGTGCAAATTATTTCTTTCAATCTAAAAAAAAAAATAATTGTAATTTTAAATTTTTTTATTGATTTATTTAACTTTTTTTATTTTAGATGCAATCCGTTTTCTAAGTGAATCATGGAAGGACTTTGATGAAGATACTAAAAAAAAAATGACTGATATTTATAACAAAGAACTTGAACAATACAAAGAAAATATAAAAGTTTTCAATCATAGCTTGACTGTTGACCAAAAAAATGAGTTGTTTCGACTGAAATATGAACAGATAGAACAAAGAACAAAACGCAAACTCAAAAAAGTATGTTGAAAAATATATTTTAATTCACTAAATAATATTAAAATTTATTTCAGGAATTAAAAGAATTAGGTAAACCTCGTAAACCTCTTACTGCATATTTAAAGTTTGTAACTGAACAAATAAAAAATCATGGAAATGAGCCAGTACAAACTTATATGATAAAAGTTGCAAATAAATGGAAAGAAATGGATGAAAATCAAAAATCAAAATATATTGAATTAGCAGCTATAGATAATGATAATTATAGAAATGCACTTCTTAAGTGGGAAAATGATATGATCAAAGCAGGACGATTGGATTTAGTTAGAGCTCGTGCACTATCTAAAGATGATTCAGATATTTAAAAATGTAGTTATACAATTTTTTTTTTTTTTTGTATTAATTTCTTCATCAATTTATTTATATGTTATTAGTGGCTATTAGTTAACTTTTTTTTCTGATTTTAAGGATACTAATTTATTATTTTTTTTTGTAAAAAAATAATGTACTGATGATTTTTAGTTACTTATAAATTAAAATTATTTTGATTATACTTAAATGATTAATTTTTTATACATGTATTATAAAATAATAAATAGCAACCTATTCATAATCTTGAGAAGCTTAATATTTTATATCACAAGTTTTCACTTTTTACATGTAGCATTACAATAGTATAATACACTAATAACATCAAAATATATTTAAATTATAATCTGGAGCATAAGTTGAATAGAAAATATTTTAAATGTACAGTATGAAAAGTGAAACAATTAAGCATGAATGTCATTCCACTTAAATTTATTAAAAATTAATTGCTCTTTATTCACAAATATGACAAATTATTAATTTTCACCTTTCTAATAAAAAATATTAGAACAAGAGGTCTGGTTAGTGGTTGATTTAATCTTTTTACTGTTGAATATTAAATAAAAAATATTTTGGATCAATTAAAACGGCTCTTTTAATGGTGATTATTATTTATATTTGGTTTGTATCTGAGACGACCTGGTCTGCCAGGATAGTCTTTTAGGATTTGTCGTCATTGGTTTGATGGCATTTTTTTAAAATAAGTAGATTGTTTTTAATTTCTTTACATTAAAGAAAATATATTTATATTCATAAGCTACACCACAATGAGAAAATTCCAATTCAAACACCTGTTGGCTGTAATATAGTTACTAGTTTATTATTAATAAGTAATAACTGGAATAAAATTGCTCATTTAACATAGGTATTTTGATTTTTGGAATGTATACATGGATTATTAGTATTGTGTATGTGGGGTTTTATCAATTCCAATATTTGTCTATATTGATTCCGCCGAATGTTAATGTAGGTTGTATAAAGTATTATTTTTTAATAAACAGTATAGCCTATAAGTACATCTAGTTTACAATAATTTTTTTTTTATACATATATAAAAAAACATTTTAAAAACCAATTTGTTACCGCCCACAATGAAAAATATAACACAAGTATATATATTATATTATAGCAAAAAAAGTAATTATAAATACATTGTAAGTTATTTAGTTTTTAAATTAGTGATTTGATGCCAGTTTTACATAAATTAATCTATAAATTTTTTTATTTTTTTCATTTAAAGTATTGCTAAACATTTTTGTTACAAATTTTTTTTTAAGTTCATAATTTTTATTTTTGCTTATTTATTATTATATTTAATAGTTAATTAAACTGCTTTGAAATTGAATTGAGATGAACAGTCTCGCTAAATATTGATACTGTTTGAAAATCTATTTTATTGTATTGTCTTCTTACATAATATAATATAAACTAAAAAGTTATGTAAATAAATAATTATAAAATAAATTGGTAGTGTTTAAGGAAAGTGGGAAAAGGTACAACATAAGTTTAGTCCCCCTTAGTAAGACCAATGGCATAAATAAAAAAATATGGACTGGGTAACACATTTTCCTGGTCTGAATGTTATCCCAGGCCATCCCTGGTTTGTATTTATACATTATATAGATCTTGACTTAATATTACTTTATGAAGCAGATAGCTGATAAGTATATTATATATACTAAATAAACAGCAACACTGGGTACCTAATTTACTAAATATGCTCATTTCAATTTTTTTCCATATATTCTACATTTATTTATTAAATTATTAAGGATACATGGAATTCATTTTATTTTCAATTACTGTTTCATGATGCCATTTAATAACTCAACTTGTTTTTTTTCAAATAATACATTTGTCTTTTATCTTTTATGATGAATTTTTAAACAATTTTTTTAAATTTTGGTGTTGCTCGTACTAGCTTAAATTTATATTCAAGCTCGTAGCTTTTGAGTTTATAAAGTGTATAAAGCTGTATAGATATTAAACAATTAAGTATTAATTATTATAGGTAATAAAAAATAGTTATACATATTGAAATAAGTTTAGAAAATAAGAAAAGGGGCTATGATGAAACAAAAATTATAATCAAATATAAATAAGTAATTACTGAAATTAAAATAAATATTAAATCTATTTTATTGTTAATGTAGAACCATTTTTTTTATTATCTAGTACTAAGTATATTTTAATTACTAGGGAAGTAGATAACTACCTACACATTTATATTTTTATTTATGTTTAGATATATCAACATTTTCAATTAAATCATCTGTTTAAGCTTAATAATTTACAGTAAAAAAGGGTAGTTTTTATTTGAAAAAAATTACAATTTTATTGCTGCATAACACTTCTAAGCTAGTAGAAACAACTTAAAATTTAAATGCATGGTTATTCTTAAAGTATTTATGCAAAATAAATCCAAAAATCATAATTTAAATAAACGCATTAATAAAAGAAAAATTGGATAAATGTTAATAATAAAAATATTTTTTATGTTTTACAATTTACAAAAAAACGTAGGTACTTATTTTTTTATTATTTTTCAGTTTAAATCAACTACGCCGTCATGGTTTATTGAAAATAAACTTTAGACTTTACGATTGGTGTTTGGCACAATAAGGATGGACAAGACAGGTCCTAAAAATATTTAAATTAAAAAAATAATTTTACATTTCGCATATGTTTTTAATTTAGTAACAATAAGGGAACTACCCATATAATAATTGAACAATATATATAATAACTAATAAGTATTAAATTATTGATAATAATTTAAAAGATTAGGTTGGAAGAATGAATTTCTATTAGTGGTGAGTGTTTTAAAATATAAAATATAATATACTTTATGCTTTATGGAATATATGATACCTAACAAAAAAAGAAATAAAAAATATTTTTTTCAATTTAGATTGTAGCTCAGTGATTTACAGAAGTATCTAAACTTAAGTTTTATTTTTTTATTTATGAATTGGTCACAAAAAAAAACTGAATGAATCGAATTGTAATCAGATGTGTAGGTTTACATATTTTTCAATTAAATCTTAACTATCATGGTCAAAACTCAGAAATTTATTTTTAAAGTATTGGTAATTGGTATAGTAACCAGTATAGAGCATAGTTTATAGATAGTACCTTGGGTATAGGCCATAGGGTATCTACTCTCATCATAGATCTATATCATATATCTAATGAGTTTGGTACCTTAGATCATATGATCTAAGTTGGGTACAGTCATAGAGTAATATTATTTACTCTATGGTGGGCGCAGTCGTCCGAAAATGATAAGGATAATATGCCAATATAAAATTTTCAAAGGGAATTAAGGGCCGGCGTTGCCACTCGCTCAGACATTCAAAACGAAAATATCCCTCGATTTGCTATGCAACACCACCTAACTACTTAAGGTAGGTCATATGGTTAAAAAACAATGCCCATAATTTTGCTAACAATGGTTTTAATGATTTTCGATTATCATATCTCGGGTCCTTATTATTTTTCAGACAAGTGCTTATCATTCATATTTAATAATGACAAAAAAAAAAAAAAAAATTGGTAAAAAGCTGACCAAGAAGCTCACAATGCAAAAATTTCAATAATTGGACATACACATATTACATAATCCACAACCTCTTAATGAGTTAAGACGAACCTCCATTAAATGACTCGTGCGGTATTTTTCTAACTATTAACTACACCATCATCGATTGTCAAAAATGTCTATATTACTGCAACCAATTCCACATATCAGAACAAATCTGCCTAACTTTAGGACCGAATCTTTAAAATGCCAAGAACTTAATTTCGTTCTTAAAAGAACCAAATTATATAAGTAAATTTAAATAAAAAATGTAAATAATAAAATATACCTATATAATATACTAATACCTAAGTTATCAATGTATTTTAAGATAAAAAAAAAATAAATAAATGGTAGGTTAATGTGTACGGTTCTAATGTATGTACATTGTGTATCGTTGTATCGAGTGGATCACTATTATATTATGTCTGTTAAATTTGAATACAATGATATGTCATTGTATATTTGTTTAAGAAAATTGATTCTTAGCGGAATCGGTCAACAGCTTACATCACAAAGTGTTATATTTACTGAGATATAAGTACAGTTATAAAGGTCATTATTTTTTACTTTCAATATTATAGCAGAATGATATCATTTTTTCTAAAAACATTACATTACATTTGTTATTATAATTGTATATTAATACATATTTATACTATGTTAAACCAAATTATATAACTCAAAAATCAATAAATCCTTTCTGTAAATATCGTAAAATATTAAAAATAGATTTATAGTAGGTACCTATCTACTCGTATAAATAGATAATATTTTTAGTTAAATCAAAAATGTTATTGCGCATAGTAAAACTTAGTAATATAAAATACATAAAATTTTCCTCAAACAATGTAAATTAATGTTTTTCAATTATAATAAAATAATATAAACATATCGTTATTTATCGTTTAAAATTTTTAATAAATATTTTGTTAAAATTAAAAATGTGTACAAAAAATAGTTTTTCTTATGCATTTTTTAGAGTTTATGATTTTAGTATGAAATACTTAAATATGAAGAATCTTATACTAAATTTTCAAAACTTAGATACAAAAAAAAAGTTTTTATGAATTTTTAACAACCAAATAGTTTATAATCTTTTGCGATTTTGACAAATTTCACCAAAAATTTAAACTAAAATACATATAAAATACATTTTTACCTACCTATGTATTTTTAATATTTTTATACAGGTATAAGAATAATTTTTGTAGGATCTTGAATTAATTGTTTAAAAACTTTTACCCCAGTGAATAATTTTTTTATCAATATTTAAATAAAAAATTTTTAAAAAAACTTGAAAATGTTATCGTATTATTATCATTATTTATTTACTATATTAATGATATGAAAACGATAATTTCAAATGTCTATTATTTATTTTTTTTAAATACAATAAAACATTAAATAGGTATCTATTAAATATTATTATAGACTATAGTAATTGTACATTACAATTAACTTGTAAAATTTTACTGAATTA